TGTAAGGAAGCCATAAATCATAAGACTTACAAGTACTGACCTCTTGTTTTTGGACTCCGTGGCGACCCTTGGTGAAGGTATAGACCAGCTGCAGGGGAGGATCTAAAAGGGATCATTGGAGCAGCAGTGGATATTTTGGACACACATATCGCGGCCTCTTGTTCTCACTCGAAAATCCTTTGAAAATAATCCGCTGTGTGTCTTATACACCCACAGTCAGATTTTAATAAAGCCAGGCATCAGCTCCCCTGCTCTCCGAGGACCCGGCGGTTCTGAGGTGTGCAGACACCTGACTCTCATCTTAATTCAATAACAGATTTAATTAACTACATGAGAGGTGAAGAGGACGGTGAGGAGAGAAGGCAGTGTGCCATTTACGGGCCATATGGTTCTCTTAAACCCATGCAAATCTCATTCAGATCATAATCGACAGCCGTGATCGCAGATATGTGTAACGTTAGTGGCTATTTTCGGCGAGTGCTGTATGCTATTCGCCTGAAACACAGTGGGATCCTAAGAATTATGTGACAAGGCAGTTGTAAAAGGGCGATTTGTAACACACTACATTTCTTCATACTTATATGAAGCATATGGCTTGTCGCCACATAGCATCCACTTTTCTTTTAAGAGAATTTAAAATAAAAATATGTAAGAATTGTATTTTTATTTTATTTTCCCTAGTTAATTTGATATGTTCGTGCATTCCTGCATTTCAAAAGTATTATTCAGTGATATTCAGTGTAGTCTGTAAATATAATGTATATTAAATAAGGTAAATATAAATATGCAAAAAAAATAAATAAATTGTAGATTAAAATGTTGCTTAAATGAATTTTCACAACAGGACATTTCAACTCACCTATAGTATTTCATGTCAAATACCCATAATATGATATAAAAGTGAAATTATGATGACTTTGCCATTAAATAGCCTACTATAAGTAAAGATATGCATTTAAATTAAAAGGCATCATTTCACTTTTATATTGTATTATGAGTAACTGACATTAAAAAACTTTAAGTATAGATATATTTTTTAATTATGTTACCCATAATATAATATAAAAGTGAAATTATGATGCCTTTGAATTTAAGTGCATATATATATATATATACTTACAGTATTTAATAGCAATTACTCATAATACGATATAAAAGTGAAATTATGATACATTTGGACTGATTGCATATCTGTGCTTAATGTCAATTACTCATACTACAATATAAAAGTGAAATTATGATACAATTTAATTCAAATGCATATCTATACTTACAGTATTTAAAGTCAGTTACATATAATATGATATAAAAGTGAAATTATGATGCCTTTGAATTTAAATGCATGTCTATACTTACAGTATTTAATATCAATTACTCATAATATGAAAGTGAAATTAAGTGTATATTTCTATTTCTAGGTTGATTGATAAAGGTAATGGGGCAGTTTCAATACAGATTTCTTGTCTTTGTTAAATTCAATATTATGATCTCAATGTAAATATATGTGTGATACTATTACTCTTGGCACACGTACATGTTTATTATACCATAGATTTGTAGTAATTTGTGAGTTGTAAAGGAAAATGCCAACGAAATTACAGTTGCCTCATACTGAAAGTTGCTAGATAATTAATTTGTTATTAGTCGTGTAACCATTACATTTCACATTGAGCTGTTCTTAGATAGTTTGTGAATGAAACATTACCATTGTCTCTTTCACACCACTGTTAATGTGTGCGATCAATGTGCCATGTGCTGATGAAAGGAAAACAATAGCTAGTAGTGCAGGGATGATACATTAGAGAGACTTGGCAGCCTGTGGTTGGGATCCTAGATTATTGTCTCGCTCCTGTATTGATTTACCTATTTGGTCTGGTGTGGTTGGTTGGATGAGATGGCCATTAGATCAGCTGTTCATAATCAGCCCTCTGTTTTGTGCTTGATGCTACACTTTTGGTGGAGAGGGTGGGAATGACGTTGGCTGTGATTTCCTTCTCTTACATCTGCAGAATTCACCTCACCCATGTAGCTTTCTAATTTAATGGTCTCAAATTTCCCTGGTCGGCTCAATTTGAGATTCGGGCTCGGCTCATTGAGAAATTTAAATTGGAACCAACGGAGTTGGATGTGAGCTGCCATTATCTGACATAAGCAGATAGCTTTATTATAGTTAATAGGGATCATCTACAGTTTGAGAACAGCCAGCTGCTTGGCTAGCGCTCAGGTGCGCTGCCGTTTTCTGCTGGAATTTGATAATGGGGTCTGTAACAGACTGATATATAGACTAGAAGTCAAAATTATGGATGCACCTGACAGAATTTATACTTCTCGTGACATTAAAAATATTCTCATCTCCCATGGAAAAATTTAATAAAAATAAAAATAAATACTTCAAATTATACACAAGCAAATATAAATTGTCCATGTATGAATTTCTTTACAAAATAAAATACAATTTAATTTAATTTAATTAGTGAAATTGCCCTATCGTATGATATTCTGTACAAAATTAAAATACTTTTTTTTTAATATAATTCAGTCAAGTAGATGCTATAAGTGAAACCACTAATTGTTTTAATTTTCTTTTTTTATTTGTAATTTGATGAATGAAAAACAATAGACTATTCATAACAACTAAGCAAGTTAAAAAAAAAGTTAAAAATTAAAGATTGAAAATAAAACTAATATTAAACAGGTTATTTTGGCTCAAAATTCACATTGTTCCCATCAGTATTCCATTAAAATCTGCTTACTTGTCATATTTTAGTCTCTAAAAAATTAATAATTTAATTACATTTAATTTAATTTAATAAAAATTTTAATTTAATTTAATTTATTTTAATTTAATACATAGTTCAGTAATAATGATTTATAATAATAATAATTATTAATAAAGTAAATAAATGATAAAGGTAAACAATGAAAAGTGCTCAGCATAAATGTGAACTTCAGTAAAAATCTCAAATATTAGATATTAAAACATTTTGGTCACTAAAATGTTACATTTGACCAGTGTTGTTGTTGTTGTTATTATTATTTCCATAATTAAAAACTGTTATTTTAACATTTTGATGACTTCTATTGTTCTAAAATCTGCAAAACAATAAATGCGTCAATAATAATAAATGTTGAAGAGCGAGTGTGTCCAAATTTCTGACTGGTACTAGGAACAAATTTCTTACGTTTAGAAGTTGTATTGGCCCTGACTTGGACATCATGTCACGCTTTGCGATAAGAAAATAAATACTGGCAATAAAGTATATGTTTCTAGGCTCTTTTAGAAAAGAAAGGTTTATGTCATCCATGTCTCATATGTCCATTTGTGGTTTGGCTGGATGTTTTCTGGCCGTCGCTGTAGGGAGAATGAGTGACACAGCTATTAGTAGGGGCCATAGACGCCATGCTGCGTGGCCCACATGTCAGCTGGGATTATGCGTTTACTGTACGCCGACGGAGGCTTTTGTTCTCTCTCTTTGTGCCTGTAGAAGCCTTGCTCAATCAAACAGGAGTCATTGTAATGAGAGCAGGAGACACTGAGATGTCAAGAGCTTGTCACGACCGTCCCCGCTGTAGCACGCCATGCAGCCAGCCAGCCATTTTTAATAATGCAGTAATATTTCCTTGCTGTCGTCTCCCATTGTTTTAGTCTTCATTTTCCGTTGTTTTATTGTTGTTTACTTCATTTTAGTTGATTGGATTGGACAAGGATTTGATATTGTGTTTAATAAAAATGAAAATTTCTACACAAACAGAAATAAATATTGAATACAAAGGCAGATTACACAGTGTACAAGTTAAATAAAACAATCATAACACAAATAAAACAACATCTGAGAATTTTCAAATGTTTATAATGCATAAATTAGAAAAACATTAAGCAAAATATGAATGGGAAATAAAGAATTTGTCCTATATATATATTTGTTTTTGATTTATATTATTTATAAATAAATAAATATATGTTTTGAAATGTGGTGAAAACAAATATATTTTATATCTCCAAATAAATAACAAAATAATTGCCTATATATATATATATATATATATATATATATATATATATATATATATATATATATATATATAGTTATTTATTTATTTAATCTATTTATTTAGGATTGACTAAAATCATATGTTATGGTATGATTAGTCTTATATCACATTATTTGGATTTATCATGTAGTTATTTTTGTATAAATATTCAATAAAATAGTGAAATAGTGAAATACAAATTGCAAAATATATTTTTAGGACAAAGTTAACTGCCAAACTGTTTTGGAACAAAATGTATTGTAAAAAGATATTTTAAAATTAAATAAATGTTTAGTAATTTAATGAATTAAAGTTTTTATACCAATAAAGTTATATTAGTGAGAAAATGTAGCATTTTGCTTTGTTTTGAGGTTACGTGTTACATTTACATTTATAGTTTTAACAGTAAATGATGCAATAATTAGTAACTAACCCTAACCCTAATCTTGTAGTTACTCAGTATTTCTTTTTGTAATTACACAGTAACAACATCACCTTAAATGAGGGTTAAATGTAAAAAAAAAAACACAATCATGTTCTAGCTGTAATCTTTATCCAATCTATAATCAACACACCGCTTTAATATATTGAATCCTTTCAGGCGGTGCTTGTCAGATAAAAGAAACCATTTGTGATTTGTTCGCCTTGTTAAAGATGTCTATCAGTGAAATAATACTCTCAAACACACAAGATCAGCGATGGGTCAGCCGTTAAAGATCCCGTCATGCACGGGGTAACGAGGGTAACTGTTCTCCGGCCGTTAAAGCTCGTGCGGCTAACTGAAAAATACTGGTTTGAAGGATGAGTTTGTTGACTCTATTGTTTGTTTAATTGGATTGTGGCATAAAGCAGTGCAGCTGAGTAAATACTGTGTTGATGGGGACGCTGCACACTGAGAGGGGGGTGAAACCGGATCTGAAAAGGGCTAACTGCTTATTTGTTTCTCTCCCCTTCTCTCTTTTCTACAGTGAACCTGTTGGACTCCAAAGCAAGCCAAGGGGAGCTGGGCTGGATATCATCCCCATCCCACGGGGTGAGTGCTGCAGACCTAATCCATATTCTTTAGTGGAAAAGAAGAGAACAGAGATTTCGTGCTGTGAGGATGTTGTTGGGGAGCCAAAATGTTGTGTGCAGTTTTTGGGCCATTTATGAGTTTCAAAAACTGATATGATTCTGTTTGGATAATTTAGCAAAATATTTAAGGGCTTGACAATTATTGTATATACACTTAGATTTATTAAGAGTTTAACTGATCAAATTAAAATTGCATTGCATTTTTAATTTTTAAATACTAATGTATTAAAGAATGTATTTAGAAAGTCTGAAATGATTATAATTTGTCTGTGTGTTTTTTAATGGTCTTTTATGCTCACCAAGGCTGCATTTATTTGATTACAAATATAGTAAAAACGGTAATATTGTAAAATTTGTTGTTTTCTATTTGAATATATTTAAAAATATAATTTATTCCTGTGAAGCAAAGCTGAATTTTCAGCAGCATTACTCCAGCCTTCAGTGTCACATGATCCTCCAGAAATCATTCTAATATGCCGATTTGCTGAAACATATATTATGTTTCCTATTATTTTCAGTGTTGAACACAGTTTTTGAAAACAAACCTGAAAATAAATAATAAGAACCATTATTAATAATTGGGCACCAGAAATAATTGATAATAAATGAGTGTCAAATATTAAAATGATTAATTTTAGAATAATTTGCATAATAGACTGATTTCTAAAAGCTCATGTGACACTAAAGACTGGGGTAATGATGCTGAAAATTCAGCTTTATATCACAGGAATATATTTAAAATATGCAGTATTAAAGTAGAAAAAGTATTTTAAATGTCAACAATATTTGATCAAATAAATGGTAAGCATAAGAGACTTCTTTCAAAAAAACATAAAAATAAAATCTGAATTATTCCAAACTTTTGACCATTTATATAAAAAATACAGACAACATATTATAAACATTAAAAACAAAGTATGAGAATACTAAGACCAAAGATATGTTTTTCTTGTCAGCGTAGAGCAAGTCAAGGTACTTTATTTGTGTTGTCAAAACCTCAAGGTCGCAGCTTCCGATAATAACCGTGTTTATTTGTTGAGCTGCACAGGTATTGGTCTCAAGGGTTACTCGGACCAAACCGTTCTTTAAACTTTATTATGTGTTAAAATGACTTGCTGGCAGTTGCTAAAGGTAATCCAGTAATTTGTTCCATATAGCTGCCAACCCTTGTTTCCCCTCGTTCTTTTTTACTGTTGGCACAGTAAAACGTGAAGCTTTCCTTTCTTAGAAGCAAGGGAGAAGAAGAAAAAAAAAAACATGAAGCAAAAAAACAAAAAGGTCATTTGCATCTTATATTAAGTGCTTTTTAATGTAAAGTGCGTTTATGGAAAATTGAGTAATTGCACTAATTTGCTAGATTAATTTCTAAATGTTCATAAGTTCAACTGAGAAAGCATCATTAATCTTTACAATAGCCATAAAGGTGATTTAGAATGAAAAAGGAAATCCCTCGCAGATACGCGCTGAATGCTCTGGGATTTATTAAATCGGCGTGTAGCCGTTGTCGCGATTACAGCGAAGATCAGGTTCTCAAGGTGAGAGTGCGTTTATGGAAAATTGAGTAATTGCACTAATTTGCTAGATTAATTTCTAAATGTTCATAAGTTCAACTGAGAAAGCATCATTAATCTTTACAATAGCCATAAAGGTGATTTAGCATGAAAAAGGAAATCCCTCGCAGATACGCGCTGAATGCTCTGGGATTTATTAAATCGGCGTGTAGCCGTTGTCGCGATTACAGCGAAGATCAGGTTCTCAAGGTGAATTAACTCTAATTACTCAGGACTTCTCCCTAGTTTGGAGCGATAAGCATTTTGCCCTGAAAGCTATGCCCTCAAAAATGATTTCAAATAATGTGCCACTGCAGCACTGACACTGACGGATGGGCCGCCCGCCTTCTGCCAGTGTAAGCACAAATCGGCCCGGTTAAAGCAAATTAAGAGCTAAAGCCCATCGGACGCTGCCTGTGCGGCCGCCCACTCAGATAAGGCCAGTAAATATAAACCGGCCCTGCGCAGACAGCTCTTTAAACACGCAGCGCTGTTTATTACAGCCTCTCCAAATTGCATCAGGCCTCAGCCTGGGATTCATTACCCAAGGCAGTCGGATTACTCTGAACCGCTGCGATCTGTTGCGCTGCTCTGAGGACTCGACGCAATTGTTCTTGGAGCGTCTTTGCTGTGGCGTCTGTGGAGATGCCGATTAGAGCTTGATTGGTGGTTGAAGGTTTGGGGTTTGGAATGCCTCGTTTCTCTAAAGCTGTTTTAGCTCAGGAACAGAACGAGAAGTGCAAATGGATCTTGAACACTGGCTTGGCTTGGCATTGGCATTGTTTTTAATTCCATTTAAGATTTTTGAATGAATAATAGGATTGATCTGTCGCACTGGGAGTATTGGTGGCTGTGCTGGATCGCAGGCCAGAAATGTAAATATTCTGGGCTGCAAATATTTTTCATTGTTTTAAAATCATTTTCTTTGGTTTGGGTGGCAGAACTAGTTTTTGAAGTATGTAGAAATATCTATTAATACAGTGTAAAATCTTCATTTAGAATTGATAGGTTTGACTAAAATTATGGTATGAGTAGTCTTATATCATGTTTATTGGATTTATCATATGTATATCATGTAGTTATTGTAGTATAAATATTCAATACAAATATTTAGGGGAGAGTGAAATATTTTTTTAGGACAAAGTTAACGGTGAAAATGTTTTCGAACAAAATGTGTTGTGAAAAATGCAACACAAATGAATTTTTAAATATATATATATATATATGTATATATATATATATATATATATATACTGTATATTGTATTTTTTATTTATAAATGTAAAATGTTTCTCTTCTGGTTTTTACATCTAACCATATCTAACAGCAGGTGGAAAAATAGACTTTATTATAAAGTTAATATTTTTCAGACAATATTAAACCAATTTTGTTAGCTTCAGTACAGTAACAAAATAAATTGCAGTTATTTAGTTTTGCATAATATTTTACTTTTTCCTCACACTGTATATTTTAAACAAGCTATATATACAGTATATATATATATATAGTTTGATTGTTTAAAATATATAGTGTAAAATATATAATGTGACACTATACACACAGACAGACAGACAGACAGACAGACAGATAGATAGATGGATAGATAGATACATAGTTAGATAGATAGATAGATAGATAGATAGATAGATAGATAGATAGATAGATAGATAGATAGATAGATAGATAGATAGATAGATAGATAGATAGAATAATTCAGCAAATTAAATGCTACAATTCTTAATTTTTCTAATTTATTTGTAATTCGATGAATGCAAAACAATAGATTATTCATAAAAACTGAATAAGTCATCTGTGCTGAGTTAATGAGCAATAAAACTAATATAAAACAGATTGTTTTGACTCAAACTTCATCAGCATTCCTTAATAACCTACTTCCTCATCTTATTTTGGTCTCTTAAAAATCTGGAGTAGAAGCCAGAAGATCTGCTGTGCCGTAGCATAATCGACTGAGACAAAACAGGCAGCAAACACAAAATTTTCATTATGCGTTTCTGAAGTCACACTCTGCCAGCGCCTGCAGCGAAAGACAATATTTCCAACATGATGCTAAAACTCATTTAGTCCTCCCTCCCCACCCCCCGAAAGGAAACTGTGAAAGGTCTCCAGCTGTACAAAGTGCAAAGAAAACCCCCTCTATAAAGGTGGATTAGCACGTCATATGGCCGCAGCGGGGTGAGCAGGCAGCACACAATGTGTTATGGTTCCTCTGTGGTAAAAGCTGTGATGAAAAGGTATTGACTGATAGGGTACAGTTGTCGTTGTGACCTAGTGCAAGAAATCTTAGATGGTGAAGCACTTGTCATTTCTAGTGTTTCCTGCTGTATTGTGGGAATGGGGTGGGCTCACGGGCCCCACATATAAACATAAGTCCTTTTCAGTTCTCTTTTTGGAGTGATTTGTGTCTTCAATTTAGTTTGGGAGCTGTATTTCTTTGTAATATAATATGGATGAGTTTATGCTTCTTGAACGGTGTTGGTAAGCTGATTTGAAACTGTAGCTTCTCAAAATACAAGCTGCACATAAATTAAAGTAATTTAGTAAGCTACACTTAAGTAGTTAGCAGCACAACAACCAATCAACAAGTAGCTATCTACACTAACTCTATAGGGTGGCAATATATTTGTTTAATACGTCAGAAAATATATTTTAAAGCTTTCTTTCTTTCTTTCTTTCTTTCTTTCTTTCTTTCTTTCTTTCTTTCTTTCTTTCTTTCTTTCTTTCCTTCCTTCCTTCCTTCCTTCCTTCCTTCCTTCCTTCCTTCCTTTCTTCCTTTCTTCCTTAATTTATTTCCTTCTTTCTTTCTTTCACTTGTAAAAAAAGAAGTGTGCTTAATTGTATTGAATGTGCATTAGTAGTGTTCTTCATCTCTTTAAAGTATACTTTAGGAAACTGTACTTGCAGACAATAGTAATGGAATAAAAGGCCACTTATTTAGTTTTATTGTATTTTTTAAATTGTAATTTTTATGGTCAATATATTTAAAGTCAATATATTTTAAATGAAGTAAATTGCAACGTAATCATTATAAATGTGTAATTACAAATATATTATAAATGTAAAATGTTTCTCTTCTGGTTTTTACATCTAACCATATCTAACAGCAGGTGGAAAATAGACTTTATTATAAAGTTAATATTTTTCAGACAATATTAAACCAATTTTGTTAGCTTCAGTACAGTAACAAAATAAATTGCAGTTATTTAGTTTTGCATAATATTTAACTTTTTCCTCACACTGTATATTTTAAACAAACTACTGTATATATACAGTATATATATATATATAGTTTGTTTGTTTAAAATATATAGTGTCAAATATATAAATAATATATATAAAATTACAGACAGACAGACAGACAGACAGACAGACAGACAGACAGACAGATAGACAGATAGACAGATAGATAGATAGATAGATAGATAGATAGATAGATAGATAGATAGATAGATAGATTTAAATACATGACATAAATAGAAATGACATTCATCATTTAATATTTTTATATTTACCATAAATGCTTGTCAGTAAATTCAGCAGTAAACTTTAACCATATTTAAGTCAATAGAATTATGAAATTACTTATGAAGATGTAATTAAATCCTATTTAAGTTGGTCAAAAAGCACTCTAAAGTTCAGCTAATTTCATTTCATATAAATTTTAACTATAATATGTTTTCATTTCATTGCAAATAATGAAATTAAGTGTCTGAACACATTACAATCAGTTTGCACTTAAGTATATTCTTTGGAAGTATATTATTTTCATATTCTTTTTAAAGTACTGAAGTGTACTTTTTTTCACAAGGGGTCAGAGCAGTGTTTATTTAGCTAGCATTTTGCTATCTTTTTTTTCTTGACCAATTTGTTTACATGAAGTGATTTCAATAAAATGCATAATACTTCCCATCTGTATATGCGAGAACATTTCTCAACAGTGTGTTCGAGCATTAAATCATTTTGCGATACACTTTGACAAAACCTGATCTAGTATTTTGTCACTGCTACTGGAAAAGCTACTGTTATGCTACTGAAAATTGTAATTAGGTTATTTGGGATGCTATATTAGTTAATTGCTCCCCAACACTGTTACTGAGTCGGTTAAACCAATGTTGAATTAATTTAGATGGTTTCCAAAAGAGAACATTTTTTTTGCTAAGAATGGATAACAAAAGCTAGCATTAGTTTATCTCTAGTTAAATTGTGTCACTTACACTTTTATTCCACTCAAGCTTTGAACAAAGTGTATTTGCAGTGGTATCGAGCCCTCAGAGCACAGTTGTCTGAGCTCAGTCAGAGCTTTGTTTGTGTCAATTAGTACAAATGTGTAGTTGACAGCGAGCAGCCATCTCCTCCAGATACTCATTTCCTTTGCTAGATCTCCTGTGAACACATAAGTGCATCTTTTCCTTCGTGCCCGCTCCGGCATCCCGGCGTTCAGACTCTAATGGAGTCCTCGCGAACAGAATCCACTCTAATTTTGTCCGTCATAATGAAGAGAGCGAGATTTGATCGAGAAACCGTGTGCACCCATTCAGGAAATGTGCATGTGATGCCAGTGAAAGCCAGCAGTATATGTCAGTCTTCGCTAACTAAAGCAATTCCATTGTAATACGAGCGAGAGGAGGATTATAATTTTATTACATATCTGTCTGAAAACATAAGCTCTGCTCCACTTTGTCCACAAGTGCCAGGGAATCTATTAGTTTAAAGTACCAGTTGGCCTGTGTGCACACTGAGTGTACACATGGGGGAGTGGGGCCGCAGCCCTGCCAACTGCTGATTTCCTCGTTTCTCTGCTGCTTTCCTTGCTGGAGGGGGATTACTATTGTAAAGTGATATTCGGAGAAACCTAAAGTCATCTTCGGTCTGCCCGTCGAGTGTAAAGTTGCAAAGCGCAAGGCTGACGTCTGTGGAGAAGGAAATCCAGATTGGTGTCGAATCGCTCTTGGAGAAATCGATGCGGCCTTTAGAAGCTGCTGTCCATAAAAGAGATATCCAGACAGGCCTTTTACAGTTTTTCCCTCTCTATAACCGGGTGGTATGTGTTATAAAGCAAAGTTATTTGAAAGAGATTGGCTTGGTCTATGTTGATGTCATTCATGGCAGCAGACAGTCCATGTAATGCACTATTCTCAAGTGTGTGTGATTTACACATCGTATATGACGTTTCATTTATTTTGGCAGCCATGGTTGCAGTACAGTCATTCTCTATCCAGTTTGATAATGCGGTACAGCCCAGGCACCTGGACTTCATTTGAAGCATCGGCTATGCTGGTGAACGCAAGTAAATAGCTCACAAAATGCAGCTGAGACAAATGACCGGCTGAAATCTCCACTGATTTATTTCAATTTGCATCATATTTGTTCACTTCGCAAAGTTCATAAACACAATATCAGAAGCAGATTCCATTGTTCTGTAATCATAACACCTCATTTAGATCATGCTTTATCCCAGATTTACACAGAATCGGGAAGCATGTTATTCATAAAATACTGTACTGCCTTTTGCTTGTTCGTTTATTAAATGCTTTGGCTAATTTAATAATGCTTTCAGCTAGCAGTTTAAGTGCATTGCGCTCAGCTCCATTCAACACATTTTATCATGTTTAAATCCATTCTGCAGAATTCCAATGATTTTCTCTTAATCAGCTTAATATGTGAAGAAGAAGAAAAAAAATGATTTGGACTGGCCTAGCTATCGCTTAACTGTTGGTGAGCCAGCTGAAAAGTGGTCAAGTTAAAACTAATTCTGGAATGAAGTTTAAAAAAAAAAAAAGGCATGAAAGAAAATTCACATCTATTGTCTAAATTCATGTTATTGAAATTATTTTGAAAGATTCATCCATGCATGTGTTGCAGTTCATAAAAAAAAAAGCCCCGCCCAAGTCTTAAATATCTGGGTGAAATATTAAGCCACATGACAAAGTAACATCAATTTTTTTATGACTTTTTTTCCATTGTAGTTTATGCACGTTGTCTTAAGTATGTAGTATTCACATACTATATACAGTATATATATATATATATATACATATGCACTTTAATTGTGCGCAATAAGTAATAAATAGTAAAATAATACAATTATTAGTTAATAGTGCTGAAGTTCAACTAAAGACATACTGAAGTATATTTGATTGTGCTAAAGTGGAACTATTGCAAGTTTAGGTTCACTTTAAATATCTTGCTTTTAAAGACCGATATTATTCAAAGCTCATACAATCCTCATCAATAGTGATATTAAAACACATTTTAGGCTTAATATTAAGAAATGTGCAATGTACACAAGTAGTACTTCAGATAAAGTTTAATTATAATTTTCAGATCAGTAAGTCTCAAGCGATAAGTCAGTAAATATGTTAATAGATTTGAACTATGTTTAGTATGAAATAAATGTATTTTAAACATATTTTACTAGGGTAAGTATGCAATATCCCAAAATGTTCATTAAAATATGTGGATGGAATTCCAGCTGTCAGTGAGTTCAAATAGTTTGCTTTACTTCCAAAATAAAGGCTGTGTATCTAAACAATAAGATGCAAAACAATATATTAAATTCTTGAGATCTTAACAACGTGCTGAAAAAAAGCTCCTTTTGGGGTGTTTCATTAAGCACCCTCGCAGTTGAAACGCAAATAGGCAATTCTTCAGTCTGAGGGCACACTTGTTCTGCCGGGTAATGAACAGCTCGCAGCCACTCCAGAGGCCTTGTCTCACTCAGCCAAGGGCTTTTATAAATTTCAGCTTGACGGAGAGCCATATAGTACTCCATTATTGTAATAGAAAACACTGCCTCTCAGTTCATCATTTATTTTGCTTTGTGTACGTTAAACCTCAAGACTTCTGGCCGCATTGTGGCTTCGGACACCCTTAGTGACAAAACAAAATGATTTGTCAGGCTCGCTTTACAAGGGAGAGAACGCAGAGTTGAGGGCCTCGTTAATTATGTCCCACATTAATTATCCGAACAGGGGAGATATTAATTTGAAACGATTCATTATTCCAAATGTGTTTGAGAAATAAATAACCTCGCCTCTCAGGTGTTTTACATTCGTCTCGGTTCCGTTGAAATGCAGCAGTACAGTAGCTGTTCGTTTCTCTCGGAATAGATATGATTAACTTCTTTCTCTTTTTGCAGTGGGAGGAAATTAGCGGCGTGGATGAGCACTACACACCCATCCGGACCTTCCAGGTGTGCAACGTGATGGAATACAGCCAGAACAACTGGTTGAGGACCAACTGGATTCCTCGCAATTCTGCACAGAAGATCTATGTGGAGCTCAAGTTTACCCTGAGAGACTGCAACAGTATTCCCATGGTCCTGACCTGCAAAGAGACGTTCAACTTACACTACCTGGAGACTGATGAAGACCAGGGAAGTAAGTTTCGCGAACACCAGTTCTCCAAAATAGACACAATCGCCGCCGATGAGAGTTTTACTCAGATGGATCTGGGTGACCGCATCTTGAAGTTAAACACAGAGGTCCGTGAGGTGGGACCCATGACTAAGACGGGCTTTTACCTGGCTTTCCAGGACGTGGGAGCCTGCGTGGCCCTAGTTTCGGTGCGGGTGTACTTTAAAAAATGCCCTTTCACGGTGAGGAACCTGGCTATGTTTCCCGATACGGTACCCACGGACTCTCAATCGCTCGTGGAGGTTAGAGGCTCATGCGTCAACAATTCCAGAGAGGAGGATCCGCCAAAAATGTACTGCAGTACCGAGGGAGAGTGGCTGGTGCCTATTGGGAAATGCCTGTGCAACATAGGATACGAAGAACGGGGAGTCGCTTGCCAAGGTAGAGTTTTCCTCTCACATGCACACTTTTCTCCTTACAGTGCCTTTTTCATTTCACGGCCCATTTTCTTCCTTTCATCAGCGTAATGTACTAGCACCAGATCTGTAGACAGCAGCTCTAAATGGGACAGCTGAGTGTGTCCCTGGAATACCATTAATTTGTTTATGCTGCTCATTGTCTGTAATGTTTCTAAACTCCATGGTGAGTTGAGTATCTGTCCCGTGCTCGGAGTGCAAATGGATTCTTCCCAGATACGGACACACCTCTGATCTGTCAGCCGTGCTTTGGAGAAGGGAATATGAGAGTCTTGTGTAAGCGAGGACAAAGGAGATCTGTGGTGCAGACCCCCTTAAAGGGCAGCTTGAAGCAGTTAAGCTTGTGAAACACTTCTCTGCATCACCTCATCAGACACACAAATAGATGCAAGTTAGTCATTGAAGAGGGATAAGTGCGTGTGTGTGTGTGTTTGATGTGAAGCATATGAGACTTTCGCTGCTTTATGTGGACATTTTTAGAGTCTAAAAACACAGATAGTCTTTATAGACTCATATTTAAACATTTTCAACTGATGAAGGAGAATCTCTTGGCAGTCTTCGTTTGTCTTGCATTACTTTCCGAATATTAGAGTTGTGATGCTAGAGTTTTGGGTGTAAATGTAAATCACAGAGCAGGCTAAAGGAAAATATCTGTGGAAATATCATACTGTTAGGGGTACAACATCTTATCCCTGGGTCAGTACCCTTACTTAGGGTTAACTATTTACCCCTTAAAGGTTCGTAGTAGTACCCTAAGGTACTACTCTGCATTCTTTCAGTGCATATCTTAAGATACTACCAGTGTAGTCGCTAGGGATTCTGGGCCCATTGCACTCAAAGTCACGTTCAGTGGTGGGGGGCCCAACTCAGCTTTTGGTCCTATGCACTCTGTCCCCTTTTTCCCTCTGGTAGCTACGCCCATGGGTGCTACTCTAAGGTACTAATATGCAACTTTAGGGGTAGATAAGGCACAAAGTATTCCTTTAAGGTTACTGTCCCAGTGACAAGTTGTTGTAACTCTAAAGAAAGGGTATCCAAACTTGCTCCTGAGTACCAACGTCCTGCAGAGTTTGCTCCAACTTGCCCCAATACATCTACCTGGAAGACATTGATCAGCTGGTTTAAAGGTAACTTCAAAAGTTACATTTTTAAAAATGTCCCCTATTTTTGACTCCATTTGGGGTTCTATTTTCATTTTTGAATTTAAGTATACATCCTGAATGTCCCATAAGGCAGCTTGCTTTCCCTTTACAGTATTTGGGTCAGAACCGCAGTACTTTTGCACCATTGATGTGAGTGCAGTAGTTTAAGATTAAGTATTTTTCCCTTTTGAATTTACCGTCCAAACTTTACATGCACAAAACCACATTCGTGTTTGTCTGTTGCAGATTCTTTGAAGGAATGCAGAGCTTCTCTCAAACTAAGTTTATTCAGAGGGGAGAAGTCATGAGAAATAGTCAGGAACATGCTCAGGAATGGGAATGCAATCAATAGCGGTTTAGTCCCACAAGTTAGACTGTTTTGCATTTTGCAACAACTTTGAACTCTACTGTACTTCACATATTCATTTGAGACCACCTTCTAAAACAGACTTGGGGCAAATTTGGAAATCTGTTTTCACCCCAAAAACCACAAAAGGCTTTAGTGTGAAAGCGTCCTGAGAACATTTTGTCTGGTGTGTAAATGTGCACTGTAGGTCTTGCTGTGGTTGAGGGAGCTGATAATAGATTGGCTGGCAGCTGGTTTGAGTGCTTCAAGTCCTGCCCATGGTATTATTTGAGTTTAGCCATCTCCCTGGAGAAATCACTTCTGCTCTTCATAAAATGCTCTGTGTCTATCCTCGACTCCAGCACTACCCAGGGATTTTTAAGAATTTCGCCATGCTTTCTGTCCAGCTGTACTTGTCTTGATGTGAGAGTATCCCTGATTGCCGGCTTGTGTTCAGTTAGACGTCTGTGTTTGTGTGTGTATTTATGTGTCTGTTATGGAACACTATACTGTATGTGGAACAGCTGCAAAATGGGTCATGAGGGTGTTTACATCAATATGCATCTGAAACTCGCATGCCATAGACAAAGTGATGAGAAAAACAAGACCACACTACAGTTTGCATTGCTCTTAAAAAAAGTAGGGTATGCTGTTATCCCTGAGATTTTATTAACCATAGTAATGATGGGCTGAACTTTAAGATAAAATGTATTTATCTATGACAAATGCTGACTAAATTTAAAGTAATACAAATAAATAAATATCAATATTTAAATACTGCACAATCTTTTCAAGGGATTCCCTTTTAGGATCTCTTTTGACAGTTCCTCATTAATATTCTTAAGCAGACACTATTTCTCTCCTAATTCCTCATGCATCAAATGTGATTTATATGAAACACATGTGATTTTGGCGTTTTTCGTTTTACCTCATTAGGGGAATGAAATGTGGAATCAGCCAAACACACAGTGAAACTGAATACAAATGCTGATGTCTGAGGCCTGACCATACATTTCAAATAGTTGTGCATGGTCATGCATTTTTGCTGGCTAGTTTTCTAGCCTGTGGTTTGGCATGAGTCGTGTAGAACTGATGTCTCTGAAGGTGACTGCTCCATACAATTTATCAATCCAAACACCCATTTGTGGCGTGTAGAACCAGACGCCTGTCAAGTGATTCAGTGTGTCTCTGGGATGTAAACGATAATGACAGGGCAATGGGAGGGCTTTGATAAGTACATGAATGAGTGAGTGAGTGAGTGAGTGAATGAACGAGTTACTGAGTGAGTGATGAATAAATGAAGTGATGTAATGAAAGAGTAAATGAATGACTGAGTAATGAGTGAATTAGTGGGGGATTTGAATGATATTGAGTGATTGAAAGAATGAGTGAGCCAGGGTTGTTGTTAACTAAACCTATTAAAACATGTAAATAAAGGTGAAATAAAATAAAATATAAATATTAGATCGAAAATAGAAAAATGTTGCCTTGGTGTCTGATTAAAATAAGTTGAAGTACTACAACTACTAATTGGAAATAAATAAAAAGTAGTACTAAACTAGACCTAAAACTGAAATAAAAATAAATGAAACATAAATACAGTAGTAACATTAAAATAAGCACATAACAAAAGTACTAAAATTAACCTAAAAAAATAAAATGAAAACTGAAAATGTAAAAAAGCTATTGCAAAATAACTAAAATTATATCTGAATTTAACATTAAACATAAATAGTAATGCAAAAACATAGAAATATCAAAAGCATATAACAAGATTACTAAAAAATAACCAAAAAAACAAAATCAAAAAATATATCAATATATATAAAAATGCAAAGTAACTTTTTTTTTAAACATAAATAGTAAAATTTAAAGAAGCAGCACATTACAAAAGTACTAAAAATTAGCCTAAAAAATTAAAACTGAAAATATAAAAAGCTAATGCAAAATAACTAAAACTATAACTGAATTAAACATAAATAGTAATATTAAAGTAAAAAATAAATACATATAATAACCTGAACTTATTAAATAATATAATATTAATATAATACTATTAAAACAATAATAACCTAATAAAATAACCTGAAAAATTCCAAAATAAAAGCTAATGCTAAATATTAATAGAAGCTATAATAATTAGTGATTGATTGATTGATTGATTGATCGATCGATCAGTGAGCAAATAAATTGAAAAGTGAATGAATGAATCTCAGCATAAATTTTGTTCACTTAGATTTTAGTTTTATTTTAGTATCTCATGAATAAATCTCTACCGTTCTTCTCCTGATCACCCTTTAATGTCACCCGATCATGTCAACGAGCTTTGCATTAAGAGCGTGATTCGCCACGTCTGCCGTGTTCTGTTTTCTGAAGAGTTGTGTGAATGTTTGGATGTATTTGACAATCTCTTATTAGTTTCAGTGCAGCCTAATGGACACTAATAAGGGCTTATATTACCAGAGCGTGACAGCTGCTGCGTCGCACACTCATGTGCAGGGGAAGGGTCTAAGTCACAAATCTCTCGGCAGGCCCGCTGTGCTAACGGATTGATTACGGCAGGGAGCCCGAGTGTGACTCTGACAGAGATATTTTGAGGTGTGCAGACCTCCATTTCAACATTTCAAGCGTGGATGAGTCATATAGCGGGTTTTGATGCTTCACTGAGGGAGCACCTCTTAAATAATTAATGGCCTTTTGTCTTTGTGGAGTTCAACTGCTGCGTGCTGTTCCTGGATAATGCCTTTGTAAATGTTTGGATTGAGAAGTTTCATTTGAGATGCAGAAGAGTTCAAACTCTGTAAGTTTTAGGCGTTTGGTTACAATATCTGATCTAGCAGCACACAGTTCATCTGAGAACAAAAAACAAGAATTTAGTATAAGACTGGGATGGCTTTGAGGTTTTACATAAAATAAAGGAGGAGGAGAAGAAGTAGAAAAAGAAGAAGAAGAAGCATTAAGCTTTTTTGTAGCGTTACAATTAGGGCTGCATGATCAAATGAAATAAATCCAGAATTGTGATTTGGTGTGATTATCAAATCACAAAGACTGCAATTTAATTAAATAGGCCTATATATGCAGTTTAATTCAATATAATTAAATATGTCACAACAACAATAATTTAATTTAATTTTATATATTTTTTAATTTAATTTAATTTAATTTAATTTAATTTAATTTAATTTAATTTAATTTAATTTTATTTTATTTAATTTTATTTTATTTTATTTTTTGAGCATATAATGACACATTTTTGGCAGTTAACTATTGTTCCAGCCCTACAAACAAGCACAGCAAATCTGGAGCTTTTTTTAAATTCACGATATATATTCATAGTAAAATTGGTGGTGACAATATGACAATATTGTGATGATTTTCATCGAGTTTTTATTTGGCAGTTAAGTTTACTAAAGAGTTTGTCATTTATTTTTGCATAAAGAGGAATAAATGAAACTTTAGTTGCAGATTGATTCAGAT